GGCAAAAGGTTATCGAACAAAATGGGCAATATATCATTGATTGATCTTTGTTCTTTATATAAATAAATGACCTTTGAAAAACATAGACAAAATACGCCATGACTTTTCCGACAACCCAATATATATATATAGGAAAAGCCTGGAATGAATAAAGGTTATCTTGAGGCAGTGGCATTAAGGAAGATTTTAATGTTCCTATCAACATGAAACATGGTAAGTTAGTAGTAGAAGTATTATAGTAGCAGTAGTGGTAGAATCATCATCATTTACTGGGCCCTTATAACATGCCAAACACTCTGCTGGGTGTTTTACACACATCGTGCCATGTAATGTCCCAGCAGCCCTCTGGGATAGGTGTTCCCTGTGTTAACCCACTCTCCAGGTAAGAATATAGAGACCAAGAAAGGCAAAGCTACTTGCCCAAACCCAGCTATGGCTTGCTAAGTGACAGCCTCATCAGACAGACATGGAGCCTGCCTTCCTCTGTAGCAACGAGGAGTTTTTTATTCATCAGAAATGATCCATTATGAGGCGGCTGGATAGCTCAGTTGGTTAGAGCATGAGCGCTGGACAACAGGGTTGCTGGTTTGACTCACACATGGGCCAGTAAACTGTACCAGTAAGCTGCGCCCTCTACAGTTAAGATTGTGAACAACGGCTTTACCTAGAGTTGGGCTGCTGTGAGTGGCTGGCAGCCACCATGAGCCGCCGTGAGCAGCCTGCTGACAGCCAGCGACCGACTGCCTCAGCCGGGTAGAGCACAATGATCATAATACCAATATGGGCCAGTGAGCTGCATCCTGCACAACTAGACTGAGAACAACGGCTTGGAGAACGGGGGAAGTAGGAGAATGGAGGGGGGCGGGGGGAAGGAATGATCCATTATAATGTCTCCATAAAGGGCAGCCAGTGGGAGAAGGGCTCTAGGGGGCAGTTGCACACAGCCCTCTGTGGGGAGCAGGGGTGCCCCAGCAGCTCAGCACGTCACCCTGCAGCGTGACCTAGTGCGGCCAGTGCAGGGGGCGGAGGGAGGAAGTCCCAGTTCTGAACGTGATGTTCAGAAGTCTGAGATGGTTAGAGGAAAGGAGGTAAACGCTAGCAAGCTGCAGGCTGGGTGCGCTTGGGAGGGAAAGGAGGACTAAGGAACATAGAGAGTGACATTCTGAGCTGCAGGGGTGGGGAAACTGCCGAGCACAGGCGAGAGAATTTTAAGAAATGTCAGGCTGCCCTGTGAATTGGGTGTCCTCCTGCAACATTCAATTCCTCTGATTTCTGGACTGTGTTTCTCTGAAAGTGGCACCACATTAATACTAAACCATGGACAGCCCTGAAATTCGTGTTATCTATTTTTCTTGATTTAAAAAAAAATTGCAACCAGCATGTTATTAATGTTATGATGAGTAAAAATACATATCAATCTTTTGGGTGTTTCAAAACATTTGTTCCTTAAGATAGAGAATGGTTTGGAGAGCAGCCATAAATTTCCTTACCCAGGAACCCATCGAGATTGCTTGGTTCTGTCCCTCCAGAGCAGTATTTGCCATAGAAGAGTCCCCAACATCCAAAGGACTTTGTGGACTGTAGGTGGCACCTGGCTTTATGCCCGGCCTGGTACTGTGTGTCTGGGAGAGAGGGGAGCCACTTACACCATTTCAACTCAATTTAGTAATTTTGTATCAATTTGCCTGGAACTGTGCCCAATCAGAAGATAGGGCTCCGAGGCGAGAGGGACATTTCCATTTTGCCCAGTGTATTTATCACCTGTCTCCTGCAGGGGACTGAGAATTTCATGAGGGCAGGATTTCCCTCTACTGTACTCATGGCTTATCCCCAGTACCTGGCCCAGTGCCTGGCTCTTAGAAGGCATTCAATGTGTGTTGAGGAATGAAATAAGGCCTAACGCCCTGGAAAAATGCATCAACTCTTCCCTTGAAAGCCCCAGTGTCGCCCGTTGGAATTCTCTCATTTTCAGTTGAACTCTATGGGAACTCTGATTCAGAAACTCAGGGTGAAAAATGCAGAGTTGGTCAGGAAAAGAACCAATGTAATAGAGTGATAAAAGGGTATAATAAGCAATGACGTATTGACTCTCCTAATTTTCACTCTCTATTCATTTACATTTCCCACATACTATAGGTCAGGCACTGTGCTAAGTATTGGAGACCCAAATCCTTAACCTGGCCATGATAATGGGGATAAATAGAGCATCCCTGGAATTAATCTTATCCACTAATAATAACAATTAGTGTCCAGTGCTATGTTCCAAGCATTGTTCTAAGTACTTCCCATGTATTGCTTTGTTTATAGGTAGCATTACATTATGTTGTATCCATTTTATAGAAGAGCAAGCTGAGATGGAAATTTTGTTCATATTCCACAGCTGATGATGAGGACTGGACTTGGTTTCCTGCAGTCTGACCCCTGTGCTCACTGCTCATGCTCTGAATGGCTTCCAGGGAGCTTCCTGAGGGGTAATCCTGTGATCACTGGCCTCCAAATCACCAGGCTGCTGGATTAAAAACAATGTGGGTTCCCAGGTGTGGGGCTAAAGGATGAGCATCTCTGGGAGGGGGGCCTGGAAGTCTCCATTTATTAATCACTAACCTACTAACCTGAGTGATTCAGATGTGCACTACAGCTTGTAAAGCACAGGACTCAAACATGCCACACTCACTCACTCCTTGTGAGTTTACAAAACCTTCAGCACCCACCCTCCTTCCTGCCCACTGTCAAAAAGAACGGAATAGAAACCAAAGAAGGAAAGGAAGGAAGGAGGAAGGAAGAGAGGAAGGAACTTGTCCCCAATTGGACTCTGTTTCAGTTCAGGGCAGGCTGGCACGGGGCCCTCTTGCCTCTGCCCTTGGCCCCGCAGCAGCACGCTCCCTGCACTGGTGGAAGCAGCTGCTGATGGGCCTGATGGAGCTCAGGAGGAGGCACCGTCTGTGGGTGTTGATGACTGCCCACTTGAAGCATTGAAGCCGCCAGCTGCTGGGAACAGCAGTGGGGTGAAATTTAGCTGTGCTCAGGGGCTCGAAGCCTACAAGTTTGTCCCTCCTGGACCAGGACAGTACTGCACTGTGTCCCCTCCTAGTAAGCAGTGTCCATATCCTTCTGCACACTGGGAAGATTCAGTCAACAGGACACATGGCTGGAAGGCGGGGCAGAGACAGAAATCATGGCTTCCAGTGGGCGTCATGATACTAGAACAATGAAAAAAGCTCCACCCTGCAGGAAGTGGCGTGACGATGGGACTTGCTGGGTCCACAAGAGGGTAGCCACCGCTGGTTCTCACCAGCAGATCTTGTGGCCGCCCTGACTCTCGGTTTCTTCATGCACAAAAGGAAAATAGTGATTATTAAATAGCTATTAGTATTATCTGTGATTTATTGAACAGTTTTTGTGTCAGGCACTGCTTTGAGGCAATCAGTCAATCTCCACAACAAATGTCTATGAAGTCATTTTTATCACCATTTGACAGAAGAAGGAAATGCGTGGAGAGAGGTTAAGAGACTGGCTCCATAGTTCGAACAGGTAGCCAGTGAGGCCAGGATTTGATCCTAGGTCTGTCTGGTGCCAAAGCCTGTCCTCTTACTAATTATCAATTCCTTCTCCAATACACCTTCTACTTCTAGTTTCCGTGACTAAGTGCCTCAAAAGTGAGATAGCCATGGTTTCAAAGCAAAGAGGCACCACTATCTTCCCAGCCCCACATCTGAGCCTCGAAGGGGAAAATGCCAGTTATTCATTTATCTGCGTCTGGCAGGGATTCAGCAAAGATATGGTATGCAGCCTTGTCAACTGAGAGACTTGTCAGTACGTAAGGGGCCCCAGAGGTACCTATAATAGACCAAGTCTCAGCCCTGCCAGGCCCACCAGCAGACATAGGGGTTCCACTGCTGTCATTTGCTTTCCCAAAGGTCTGAACTGAGGAGACCCTCTGTATGATGGGCTTTCAAATACCACAGAGCTTATCGGAAAACCCAGACCCCCTGGGGCCTGTCCTGCTCTCTAACCTCACCTCCCACTGCTTGCCACTTGCTCACTCCTACTGCTATCTGTTCCTCCAACAGGCCAAGCTCATTCACACCTCAGGGCCTTTGCACTTGCTGTGACCTCTGCCCAAAATACTGCTCCTTCTGCCTAGGAGAAGCTCTCTCCAGGTCTTCGCAAGCTCCCTCCTCCTTGTCATCCAGTTTTCATCATGGTCACTTCCTCCAGGAGGCCTTTCCTGACCACCCCATCTAAATGAGTACCCCCAACCCATTCCTTTCCATCATCACATCTCCCTGCTTTACTTCCTTCGTGGTGCTTAACACTATCTGAAATAATCTGGTTCATTATTTGTTTATGTGCCCAGAAAAGTGTCTAGCAAATGGGTGACTCTTGATGACTATATGCTGAATGGATAAATGAATGAAAGAAAATCAATAAGTGGGAAATCTTATGAACTTTTTTTGTAACGAGAATCCAGTAACCTATGTTGAAAAATACCCCCCTCTTTTGGGTTAACAAGGGCAGAGACCACCAGAAATAACACTGTGACTGGTAACAGCTTAACAAGCAGCCAGCAGTTATATGCACACACATTGCCGGGCATGGTTCCAAAGCTAAAAAGGCACTAATTGCTTTTCTATAAGGAGGTAGGAACACAGTCCTTCCACGTCCTTTGGTCCTGATGGTCTGCATTATCGTATCTGTTACCGTGTTAATTGTTTCTGTCTCGTGCAGCCAGTTTGGGCTTCATCCTGCACGTGTCTGGGATGGTGACAGGTTCCTACAACTGGGAGCAGTGTGTGCGCTTGTGTGTCTGTGTGTGTGTGTGCCCACGCGCGTGTGCATGTGTGTGTAAAAGCAGTGACACTCTGGGAAGGGTTAACTCACAGTCTGTGCTCAGGGCCCTGAGACTGGCCCAGGAACGGGAGGGGTGGGCCTGGAAGGTGGAGCGGGCTCCGCGTGCATTGGCTGCCTTTGCCAAGACAGGAGTGCAAATGCTTGCCCAGCTGGGCTGAGGGTGCTGAACTCCAGTCGCCTTTAGGAATGGCTGGAAAAAGCCCACACCTAGAGATCCCTCCCTCCCTGCCCTTCCACAGCAGGTCGCATCTGGGAGACTCTCCGGTCATTAGAGGAATGAGACGAGAGTGAGCAATTCCCCAGCTCGCCGGTACCGGGTGGAAAGCAGCAGGCAAGGATGGATGTGGTTGACAGCCTTCTTGTGAATGGAAGCAACACCACTCCTCCCTGCGAACTAGGCATCGAAAATGAGACGCTTTTCTGCTTGGAGCAACCCCATCCGTCCAAAGGTAGGCGTCAGAGACCGTTCTTTTCATTCAGAAAACTACTAGGTTGAGGGAGAAATCAGCAAAGGCTACGCTGATAGAGAAAATATAACTAAGCCCTCATGAGACAAGGCTGGATAAAGTCATCTGTTCAGAAGTTTGGATAAGAGATCAACAAGCAGAATTGAGTCACATATTCTCATGGTTCCCCCTCGGGAGAGTGGGGATTAATGTATGGGACTTGGGGGAACAAAAGCAGGGGGAGGAGGCGCTGAAGTGTAGCAAGAAGGGAGAACAAGTGTCTAGGCTTGAACTTAACAAGCATTACAGAAAAGGTGCTGTCACAGTCTAGCTGTCGCCTTTTCTTGGGGGAAATCCAGCGTGAAGAAGTGATTAAAGCGAGATAAAGCTTAGCAGCTAGGAAAGAAAGCAGTCACTATTCACTGGAGAAGCTTTGTTCTTAAGAAAAAGTGGTTCCTCCGAGTGATTCTTTAACAAACCAACCTTTCAGAAGCAACGGAATCACCCTGTGCTCTCCTCAGTTTGTTTCTGCAAAATATTGTCAGTACAGGAATAGTTGGGTTTAAGGATTGCACCCCTGGAAAAAAAATTGGGAGGAAATAACCGTTGGCTTCATGTGCTAAGGTTTTAGCATTCTGCTCTCATAACCTCCATCCCTCCGTCTTGTCCCGGTTCCTCTTTGCAGAGTGGCAGCCAGCTGTGCAGATTCTCTTGTATTCCTTGATATTCCTGCTCAGCGTGCTGGGGAACACGCTGGTCATCACGGTGCTGATTCGGAACAAGAGGATGAGAACTGTCACCAACATCTTCCTGCTGTCCCTGGCCGTCAGCGACCTCATGCTCTGCCTCTTCTGCATGCCATTCAACCTCATCCCCAACCTGCTCAAGGATTTCATCTTCGGAAGCGCTGTTTGCAAGACCACCACCTACTTCATGGGTGAGTAGCTGCCGGTGATTATTTCTGGAGCTCACTGCAAACCCCACTCAGCCCCAGACCTTCCCAAAGCCCTGACAGTCTCAGTGGAGGAACCCCGCTGAGTGTAAAGAAACAAAACATCTGGCAAGGACACAGGTGCTGGCTTTGAGGTAGCTTAGTCCTCATCAGTCCCCAAAAGTCAGTCCCCCCTCATACGTTGCAGAGGTCAGTATGGAATAAATTGATAAGCAACCACAGAAGAGGCTGGTTTTGCTTGCTTCTGTTAGAAAGGAAGAGATGCAAGCTGCTCTGTCACTTTCTGGAAGCTACTGATTGTATCTTGAGCTCTACTCGAGTCGCGGCTTTTGGGGGTGGCAATGTTGGTAGAAGAGGGTTCTTTCTGTTGTTGCCTTTGCTTTCCAGGGGAACAGGGACTTTTTGACAACCAGTTACATCACAGCTCTAGCCTCCCTTCTCAGGATTCACTGCCCAGCCTGTTCCCCCAGTGAGAGAGACATCTCCACCCCTAGATGGGGGCTGTAGGGGCCACTAAGTTAACCCTGATTGGCTGAAATATGGGGCTCTCTGTCTATGCCAATCAAAATTGTGATGATAAAATTCACGGGAGCTAACATTTTGAGCACTTTTAATGCACCCAATGTTATGCTAAGTGCTTTTACTTCCATGATCTTATTTTCATGGGTCAAACACCCTATGAAGTAAGGACAGTTAGTTTTCCCTGACTCACTGAGGAGGGAACAGAGGCACAGAGAAGTTCGTCATGGGCCCAAGGGTACACAGGTGTTAAGCCACAGAGCTGGGATTTGAACCCAGATCAGCGGCCACCACAGTGGTGAGGACACTGCCTCAGTCTGCCAGCTGCTGCAGCTCTCCTGAAGGAGAAGGAAGACATGTCTGCCAAGTTGCCTTGTCCCTTGCCTGTTCTGAGAACTAGCTGGGAGGAGGAGGCGAGCAGGGAAATGCGAGGGAGCTGGTTTTTGTTCTGGCCTAAGCCTTGCAAAATATGCAGGGCTGAGTTGGGCTGGGACAGGCCTTCATGACCGGAATGCTTTAAAAGCCTTTATTTCTCCGAGTTGAGGAAGTGGGATCCAGCACCAACAAAATGATGATGAATTACCGACCTGCGTGCCACGGACAAATAACCAAGAAAGTGTCATTCTGTGTCCAAGTCCTCTGAAAATAAAAATAGTCTTACCAAGGAAAGGGATCATTGTTAAACAATGAAGCAATAATAACAGCTAGCATGACATAGCGCTGTAGGCTTTCAAGGCCCATCCACTTCTACCTTGTGGACAATGCTATTTAAGAATCTGAACAAGAATATGTGAAAGGAGATTTAAAAGGAGGGCTCGTGCTCTTGCACAACGTTGTGAATTTGCTAAATGCCACAGAATTATTCGCTTTCAAATGGTTAATTTTATGTTATGTGAATGTCATCTCAATAAAAAATGTGGTTTTTTTAAATAGCTAAAATGAGAAGCAAAATAATTCAGAAAGTGTTTGCAATATCGTAATGGTTTTGGTAAACTTCTGATTTCAGTGATTTCAGCTCTTCCCTTGATTTTGAGTTCTCCTCAATACTATTCCTAACAGTTACTCCTTATAGCCAAAAAAAAAGGGGGATGCTTTCCTGATGATGGGTTTATAATTACAGTGGACCCATCAAACAGACTTTACTCTGAGAAATTTGGGGCGATACTCTCTAATCTAAATGTCATCAACTCCTTAGGGTAAAGTCCAGTGAAATATAGTGAATCTTGTCTCAGAGCATGAGCTTTTATTTAATGGTTTTGGGATTAAAGTTTTCTTTAAGTATTTAAGAAATGCTATGGATAGTCTCCCTAGAAAATGAACACTTTTATACAGTCTCAGAGAATTAATTTATATCCATAAAAGACCCCAGGTTAACTTCTGCTCCCAAACTTAAATGAATTCTTAGGTTTAAGAAATCAAGGTAAGAGATAATCATAAAAATTGCAAGAATTCATTGATAAAGAACTAAAGGGAATCTTAATAGGATAAGACATTATAATAAACATACACACACAAAATTAAGGAAAATTAAGCTTTGCTAACTATAGCTCAGTACATCATTTTAAATGAGGTGTTTCGATGTCTTTCTCATTGATGATGATGGCTGCTCATTCTACAAAATACAGAAAAGCAAAAAATAAAAAGGAAGACCCTAGTTCTGCCACCCAGAGAAACTTTTAGTTACAATATGCAGTTTTTCTTCTTCATCCTTTTTTATTGTGTTTTTTTAAGAAAGTACATTTTGAAACTGAGAATGTTTCCCTCTTAAAAACAGTCTGTACTAGAAATTTTCAGAAAGGGTTTTAATGCCCTTACCTCAAACCCCAGTGATTTTGCAGGGTCACAGTCCTTGAGACTGTGGGTGATAAGGTCAAGTTAATTATGCAGATTATGCTCAAAATTAGAGCTTTTTGCTTTTCTATGTATTACCCCCAAAATCTCTGTGGGATATCCTCTGTGATGTAACTGGTTGTCAAAAAGTCCCTGTTCCCCTGGAAAGCAAAGGCAACAACAGAAAGAACCTTCTTTCACCACCATTGCCACCCCCCAAAAGCCGCAACTCGAGTAGAGCTCAGAATACAATCCTCTTGGTTATTAGTAAATGAGCACCTTCAGCCTAAGAAGGAGTTAGGGTGTAATCAAAATTCAATAAGTTAGGGTGTTAATCAAAATTCAACAAACTTATCTGAAAATTGGCAATGAGATGTATTTGCAAATATATTTCTTTAACTGCTTTCTTAATCCTTTTTGGAACAAAGCTAGGAATAAATCATTTAAAATATATATATATATATATATATATATATATATATACATACACAAGATTTCATTATCCTCTGAGCAATTTTCTTTGATATCAACTTGTGCGGACCAGATATGCTTAAGCTAATTTGCAAATAAACTTTGGATTTCAGAGGCGACAAAACCGGCTTCTTTGTTTCTTCCCAGGCACCTCTGTGAGTGTATCCACTTTTAACCTGGTTGCCATATCTCTGGAGAGATATGGTGCAATTTGCAAGCCCTTACAGTCCCGGGTCTGGCAGACGAAATCCCACGCTTTGAAGGTGATTGCCGCTACCTGGTGTCTCTCCTTTACCATCATGACTCCGTACCCAATTTATAGCAACTTGGTGCCTTTTACCAAAAATAACAACCAGACCGCGAACATGTGCCGCTTTCTACTGCCAAACGATGTTATGCAGCAGTCCTGGTAAGGTAGTGCGCTGTTCGTTTGCTTGATACAACTTGATGTAATGTTGACATTTTCATAAAAACTGGAACGTATTGTCCAGAGTAGCTGGAGGATCAGTTTCCTGAAAGCATTTTGAGAAGGATCATTCTAACCTCTTTCTAGGACAATAGTGACAGCAGACAGAGTGCTCTGTTTTACATTCCGTATATATGTTCATTCAATTAATCCTCTCAAACCCCTACAGGGTAGGTACTATTATTGTCCCCATTTTACAGAGGAGGAAACTGAGACACAGTGGGGTTCAGTAAATTGTTCAAAGTCCCAAGCCTAGAAGAGGCAGAGCCTCTGTGCTTACCCACTATGCAGCGTGCTTCCTGACAGTCTACTGCAGGTCCAGGCTAGATGATTTGGGGGGTTATGATTTTCTAAGAATTGAAAACAGAGCAAGGGTGGCTCCCAGATCCCATCTGGTTTTTCTTAGAGCTGCAACTATGGTACTTGCACAGAGCACTTTACTAGAAATCAAAAAGCAAAATTCTAATACCTGTTTCTTTCCTTACAAGTTGGGTGATAAAATTCACATAAGCTTCTGAGGTAGAGGTTCTTTATCTGTATAAGGATTTAACAAGATAGATATCTTTTATCTAGCTCATTGGGTGTAAGGTTCAAAAGAGAATGTGTGTATACAAATGCCATTATATATCTTTTAAAAAATTACACAAATTCAGGGTATTATGTTTACTAATTCCAAGCAAGTTTTAGAAACAGGGGGCTAGACATTTAAAAATGACTCAAAACTGAGATAAATCTGCTGTCTCTACCTTCCTTTTTTTCATTTCAAGCCAGTAACACACACACACACACACACACACACACACACACACACACACACACATAATTATGTTGCAAATGAGAAGGATTTGAAAAGGAATCTTATCAAAACATGTCCAATTGAAATGAGAAATGGCCGAGCCACCATGAGCCTCTGACAATTTTATGGCCTAATCGTGTAACCTTACACATGCCAGACTACAAAGATGATTTAGGGGCCAGACTCATAAAAGAGGAGGCTACGATGCTTCAGGAATCAAATGTGTTTAGAGAAAGCATAGCTCGGCCCCACCAGGCACTAGGGAGGCCATGCCACTTCCCAGGGGGTCAGAAACGGCCAGAACGGTTTTGCCACGCCATGTTTTACAAAACCAAGGAGGTTTTCTGTCATTCTTACCCATGCTTTGGACTATTCGGTTGGTATATTGACATGGTTAAGAGCATAGGTTCTAGAATCATATTGCTTGGATTCAAATCCCACCTTTGCCACTAGGTGAATGACTTACGGCAAGTTATTTAAATCTCTTTAAGTCTCAGTTCCCTCATCTGTAGGGTAGGCATTATGATAATAGTACCTACCTCAAAGGTTATTATGGGAGTTAATATCTAATAATATCTGTAATAATATCTATATAAAATGCTTAGCCTAGTGGATAGCACATTTAATAAGTCCTCCATGAATGTAAGCTCTTATTTATTTATTTGGTAACAGCTTTACTGAGATAAAGTTCACATACTCTTTTTGTTCTTTTAAGTTCCCATTAATTTTATACGTTGACTTGTTTCAGGCACAGAATTATACCAAAATTTTCCAATTTAACTAGTCCTTCATAAGAGACTTTATCTGAAAAAGAGAAAAGAAGTAAACAACTTCTAACAACTGAACCTCCAGACATGGAATTTCCAAGGATATTAAACACTAGTAATTAATGTGTTTGCTCAGACCAGTTTAAATGGAGATGAACCCTATTTATTCCATCCCATCTGAGTTTGAAATACTAGATTGCTGGTTATTGGATTTCTTTTTATTTTATTAGGCACACGTTCCTGTTACTCATCCTTTTTCTTCTTCCTGGAATTGTGATGATGGTGGCATACGGATTAATCTCTTTGGAACTTTACCAAGGAATAAAATTTGATGCTAGCCAGAAGAAGTCTGCTAGAGGTAACTATCTTTCAGCTGTATGTTTATGCTAAAAGATCACAAAAGCTTGTTTTCTGTAACTTAAAATAGATCTACCCACAGTATAGTGGAGATTTTCAAAAGTATTATGAGCAGTCTTATGTGTCATAGCCACAGTCATGAGCCCAAGTCTCTCTAGTTCCTCATCTGTACAATGGAGAAACCATTCCTCTCGAAAGAGTGCTGAGTGGAATAAAACAAGATGATACACACATACCCCAGTTACAAGCTGAGGGCCCATGTGCCCCAGATTTCCTGCAATGCTGTATTCAAATGGAACCCCTTCAGCCGCAGAAGCTAATTATAATTCCAGTCCCCCATCCTATCTCCGCCCTTCACCCTCACTTTGCAGTGGCCACAAAGCCTCACCCCTTCCCCATTCATTACAATCCACTATCCACGTAACGTGTTCCCCTCCTCACTCCACCTCTCCACTCCGTTCTTTACCGTGTGTACAACTTAGTCGCTCTAGCTTCTTTGGCTTTTCTTGATTTTTGCTCATTATCTAGATTCCTCACAGTAAAAGCTTACTCTGGAGGCTTACCAAGGGAGCAGGGTCCTTTCCCCCGAGGAGCTGGGGAAAGTAAGGAAAAGAGTGTGAATAGTCATTCTTCAATCACTTTTTATCCTTATACCCTACATACATAAAATATTATTTTATCATTATATATCATGTTATATAATATTAGTTTTAAGCAGCGTTTAATTTCAAAGAAAGGATTAGTATAGGTCAGTACTTCCCAAGGACTAGTACAGATCAGTACTTACATTGCAGGCCCAAGGTTGCCCAATGTTTCAGTTCAAGTTTGGATGAGCCGCCTTGATGGAGAGGGTGGGAGTTCCGTGCCTTCTGCCTGGCACGGCCCATCCCGAACAGTAAGCGATGTCATTTGCCCACCCAGAAAGGAAACCGAGCACGGGCAGCAGCGGCAGGTACGAGGACAGTGACGGGTGTTACCTGCAGAAGTCCAAGCACCCTCGGAAGCTGGCGCTTCAACGGCTGTCCAGCAGCAGCAGCGGCGGCGGCAGGGTCGACCGCATCAGGAGCAGCAGCTCCGCGGCCAACCTGATGGCCAAGAAGCGGGTGATCCGCATGCTCATGGTCATTGTGGTCCTCTTCTTCCTCTGCTGGATGCCCATCTTCAGCGCCAACGCCTGGCGGGCCTACGACACCGCCTCCGCGGAGCGCCACCTGTCGGGGACCCCCATTTCCTTCATCCTCCTGCTCTCCTACACCTCCTCTTGCGTCAACCCCATCATCTACTGCTTCATGAACAAACGGTTCCGCCTGGGCTTCATGGCCACCTTCCCCTGCTGCCCCAACCCTGGCCCGCCAGGGGCGAGAGGAGAGGTGGGAGAGGAGGAGGAAGCCAGGACCACGGGGGCCTCTCTGTCCAGGTACTCTTACAGCCACATGAGCGCCTCGGCCCCGCCCCCGTGAGCTGCACCCCGGCCCTCCAGTGCAGAAGGAAGGAGGGGGGACTGAGGAAGGGAGAAGGGACGGAGGAGGAAGAGGCAGCAGGACGTGAGGGAGGAGAAAGGCTCCATTTCCTGTGGGAACTAGTCATTGCTTTTCATCCTTCATCCAGGCTCCAGGAAACACTGCTAGGGTGGGGCCGTGACGTGCTTTCTAGGCAGTTCGAGGCAGGAAATGTTCAATCATTCGCCATCAGAAAAACCTCAGCAGGCCAGTAATGGGAGTCCAACGGGGCTCGTGCTGCAAATGTTATTGCCCAGTACATGTTTCACTGGGAATGTGGACCCTACTGAGCCTTAGAAGGTTCTAGAACATCCAAGGTGGGTTCTCATGCCCCATAGTGACACGCTTCTGTGCTTTGCTTCTTCTGCTGATGCAGAAATGTGACAGCCGCTTTGCCCCTGGGGAGTCTAATCCCTGGTGTACATACTATGGCCACCTCCCTCATCATGACCACAAAGAGGGACAGGAAGCAAACCCTCATCTGGCCATTTTCTGTAGTAAGAGAACAGCTTGACTTTTTCTTCTTGAGGTCGGTCAAGGACATTCAGAGGCATACGTTGATGTGGTCATCAGGATAGCATAAGAAACTTTGTCTCAAAGATGGAATTTGGAACTTATATTTCTAAAAATAACAGAGAATACAAGGCAAATAAAATAGCTGGATGAAATGCTACCTTACTATAAGGAATAGTAAGTGCCAGAAGGTACCTAGAAATATTTTTTTCGACTTAAATGATATCTGTCGCTTAACGCCACCTTTATATAGTGATATTAAGCCCCAGGGCTTCTTTGCCTTAACTTTGTTTTTCATACTCTTCTGGCACTTTCTTTTTTTTCAGAAAGACCTCCAGGTACAAAGGAGAGTTGCAACCTATGCGTACCTGGCCACAGGTGGAAACATGAGTAGTCGGGCCCAGAATAAAAACTGGCACACTTGGATTCAATTAACAAAACAGCTTTTGATTGTCAAAGCTGTCTATTCTTTAAGTACAAACTATGTATTTGCTAATAATTGTATTGATTTTTATGTACATGTGTAAACCAAACTTATGTTCTTTACATATAAGTATACTCTTTGGTGTATTTCAAAAGAGAAAAATAGTCAATTGATGTTGGAATTCAGCAAGTGTTATAACCTCACATTTCTTTACAACAGCTGGAGTTTCATGTGAATTACTTTTCTTTGCAAAATTAGTGTTGAAACCTCTCTCCTCTAATTTTGAAATCTCAATTTAAAATAAGATGTGAGTTATGCATTTAGATAAAAAGCAATGCATTTCTAGAATAGAGGGTGTCAATCCAGTCTACCAGTACTTCTTTCTTTTTAAGGACAACATTGTCCTGTCTGCTTAAATATAAAATTAACAGATATTTTTGACTGAAACAAGTTTACATGCTAGTGTAGGAAGTAAAAAAACAAAACAACAACAACAACAACAAAACCACGAAGAAAGATTACAGCTTCCATGCCTCCATGCATCTGACAAGGAGCTTTTCTCCTTCTTGCTTTCATGGGGCCACGACCATCCATTGATCCTGGCCTGACACTCTTCATAACACACAAGGGCCAGTGATTTCAATTATTGAAAAAAATCAATATGGAAGAGGGGAAGGAGTGAAGGATGGGAAAAAGTGATCATGAGAGGAAGGGACGTGGTGTAATTGAAAAAGCTAATGAGTGTCACCATTTGATTCTTTTTTTGGGGGGAAGGGGGTTCAATGCCAACAAGCCAAAAATTTGAAGGCCTTACCATTTTATCCTGGTAGGTGTTCGTTTTTCTATTCCTCAGACTATAATATAATATTAATATTTATAACCAGTCCTCTCAGTCAAAGATTTCAAAGTAAAAATTCAGTCCACTAAAATGCACACTACTAAATGGTAATGATAAAAGGAGTAAGACATTGAAAATGTCTCCAATATTTGATTAAATCCTACAAAATCTACATTTTCCCTGACAGAAGAATAAACATTACCCTCGGATAGTGTTAGCATATAAATGAAGATAAATTAGGCCCCCCCCCCAATTTTGAGAACTTCTGGAAGTTCCAAAGGGGTATTAACCTAAAAATAGGTTGCCAGATTTAGCAAATACAAATACAGGATGTGCAGTTAAATTCTAATTTCAGATAAATAACAAATATTGTTTTTAGGATAAGTATGTCCCATGCACTAAAATACATTCCTATAAAATAATTTTTGAATCACATAAACTATAAATAAGATTTCCCAGATATAGAAATATAAAATGCCTCTGTTCACTAAATATCTTGGAAGGTCTTTCACATCAAGTTTTTTTAAAAGAAAGAAGAAAAACGCTATTAACTTTCAGAATCTGTGCCTGACCTTTGGGAATGGTACTATCAATAGGCTGATTTTACACGTAAAAAAAAAAAAATTTTTTTTAACATAAGTCTATTCTATAAATAAAGGCACCTGCCTTTATTTCATGCTAAAGTGGATTACCAATTTGAATTTGAAATACAGTAACAAGTAGAGTTAAGAAAACAGATTCGCCCAGTTTGGGCATCTTCTAGTGTCTTCTGGTAGCTTCCACTCATCAGCAGAGTGTATCTTTGTGTACAACTTGAGTGTGTCTTTGATCTTCACTTAGTACATGTGCCCCAGTGGTTGCTAGTGCCCTAGTTACTGTGGTAATCTCTCACAATAAACTAGTCGTGGCTAATGAGCAGTGCATGCATCCATATGACTGCTTACACATGTTTGTGTGTGCTTAGCAGGTACCCCCTCCATTCAGTCAAATGCAATCTCCATGAGGCCAGTGACAGTAGCTGTTAAACCTCACTGTATTTCCTTCCAGTGTTATGCCCAGTACTGTGCACACCATGAGTGCTTAATAAATCTTGTGACTGACTTCTGTTCTGTCTCCTGTGCTTTTGGGGGACCCTCTCCTTCCACAGAGGTGATTCTCAACAAGGAAGGCACATTCTTGGGGGAGGGGGATGGTATCAGAATTTCTAGAGGGCTTCTTCCAGCTCTATAGGTACCCCCGCCCAAGATTCACCTATATGAGCATTTGCTGCCAGCTCTTCCTCCACTTTTTCTCTCTCTCCTGTGTGTGTGTGTGTGTGTGTGTGTGTGTGTGTGAGCAATTAAAGATATTACTGACAGCAGGGTGTTGTGCTTGTGAACAATGAAAGACAGATAAAAAGCTTTGGTGGAAAGGACAAATATTGTACGATTTCACTCAAACAAAACATCTAAAATCGTCAAAATCACCAAAACAAAGAGTAGAAAGGGGGTTAGCAGGGGCTGGAGGAAGGAGGAGGGGGAATTAGTATTTGATGAGTATAGAGTTTAAGTGTTGGAAGACGAAGAAAGTCTAGACACACGTAAATATACTTAACACTACTGAACTGGTACATTAACCACTGTCACACCAATAAATTTAATTTTTAAAAAATGGTTAAGATGGTAAATCTAATGTTATCTGTTTTTTTAGCATAGTCAAAAAGGGGGCGGGCAGGGTTTGGGAACCACTGGTCTCTAGTGTCCCTCTGCCTTCCCGGCTCCCTGCACTCAGTCACTTTAAGGAGAACAGTAAAAATCCAGGACCACATCCCTAATCCATGCTAAAACACTGAACTCGCTCATTAGGGCTGGTAAATATTATCAAAGCCCATCTGGTGCCTTAGCTGTCCCCTCTCGTCCAGTGCTGTCCTATGGGACCTCTCTGAGAGCCTCTCAGTGACACGTGTGGTGGGGCGTCCTCTGCTTCCTTGAATGGGATGTCTGTGACCCCTCAAGTGGAACACAGACTCCAGGCTTCCTAAACCTGCTTCCACAGCCCGGGGCCAGCCCCACAAGTGCACACCCCACCCCAGCTCTTAGAAGCCCAGCCTGAGAGGAATCTCAGGTCCTCCTTCCTGCCCACGAAGAGAGGTCAGAGAAGTATAAATTATCCAGCACCCCGCATGGGTCAGAGCACATAACAGGGCCTCTGGAAGTGCCTGGGGATGAGTGAGGGAGGGAATGAGGAATATGTTTAAATGGAGTTGCGCCTCAAAGCCAGTCCCTTCCTGGCCCCTTTGGGGAGGGCCTGCTGTCCTAACCAGAGGCATCGTGTACAAATGTGCAGCAGTGCTTGACAGAAGGTGAGGCTGACTGGGCAGCCGGATTCTGTTTCCAATCCACCATGCTGTACAGGAAGTCCTGCCTTTGACTTCACTGCCCATCAACACCTCTTCTGAGGGGAAA